GGCCTGCCCCGCCTGCTCCGCCACCACGCGGACTAAGTGGCCTGCAGCAGTTGCTTCTTGCCCGGGCGCCTGATAGGACTTTCGGCAGCGTTGAAAATACTCGGTGCTGTGTGTGCAATAGGGCAGCCGCGGCCCCTACCCGTGAGTGCTTGACATGTAGCTGACAGTGGGAGGAGCTGAGATCTCAGTGCTACTGCATTCTAAGGAGTTTTTTGCCACAGGGTGCATGCACTGCTGGAGACAGAGAGAGGGGAAGTGAGAAATCACCCCCCAGGGAGATGGGCACACTGAAGTCCCTTCTCCTCTTGAGATTTGGGGCATGCACACATGCCCAGTGTGGTTTTTCAAGTCGCTGGGTCCAGGAGAACTGCACTCACCCACGTGGGGGTCCAGCACCTTAACCACCACACCGCCACTGGCCCATTGAACTAGTTTTCATTTCTGTCACTGCGCATGGCTGGGAGCTAATGGCCCGGCAGCACAGTTCAAATTCTGAGCCTCTAGTTTTCAATCTATTACATTTTCCTAACTAATAAAATGCCTACCTCTCAGATTTTTAAGATGAAGTAATAATCACAGGACATAAAGAAACTTTATAAACTAAATATGGTAAGGAAATCAAAGGGTCCCATTCGGCAAGCTTTCATTCATTTCTTTCACCCTATTTCATTCCTACAAAGTTCGGGGCGCTGGGCTGGAGTTGGGGGGCTGGGCAGCAGGGAAGACGAGCCCCTTCTTCAGGGAGCTTGCAGTGCAGCAGGGGAAACGTGAAGACATGACAGAGCCCCAAGGACATCCTGGGCGGTGCCCTTAATGCCCGATCAGTCCTGCCCCAGAGCTCCCAGACGTGCAGCCGCGTGGCCCCAACTAAGGGGCCTCTGCCAAGGCCAGTCCTTTGGTCCCTTTGCTGGGGGACCCGGCTCCTCCCGAGTCTGATGACAACTGCTACTCAGTAGAAATCGCCCCAGTGGCCAAGAGATCTGACAGGTCAGTCCAGCAGTTTCCAGGTGCTTTCCATTTTTCTATAAGAAAATGTAAGGAAGAGGAGGGGACGTAGTCAGGGAAGAGCCTGGAGCCCAGGTCTCCTCGCAGCCCCGCTAACTCTCTGCTGGATTCATTTGCCTTTCCCAATTTGTGAAAAACAGAAGTTGAACGAGGCGACTTTGGTTGGGGGTGAGTGTGGGGGGGGCGTGGCCACGCTGCAAACCCTTCTCTATCCTGTCGGGATTTGGGGGACGCACACACACATGCACCTTGTGTGTTTCTCAAGCTGCTGGGGCTGGGATTCGAACCACATAGTTGGTTCTGTGAGACCCGGCTTCCCCAATCACTAGGCAATGGCTCCAGCCCCGCTTTTTGGTCTATAACAGCCAGGGTTTTCTTCACTCTGCACAGTGATGACGAGGCTGATGGACTGAAGCGATGGCAGTTCAGGAATGCTAGCCTGCTGTCAGGCTGGGGACAGCCTTCCGCTGGGTTTAACCTGTCGTAGGCATGGGCCGTCACCCTCCTCTGTAGGTGACAAAGCTAAGGCTCAGAGAGGCGAAGCACACGCCTACCTGCAGCACAGCTAGGAGGACACTGACCTGCACTGTGCGAACCCTGCACTGTCCAAACCCCGCCTCTGCTTATATTCCCCACTGCCCGAACCACCGCACTGTCCAAACTCCTCACTGTCTGAAACCCTATGCTGTCCAAACTCCCACACTGCCTGAAACCCTTCACTGTCCGAACCGCACCCCGCCGCTGTCCAAACCACCCGACTATCCAAACCCCTGCACACTCCGAACCCCCCAAGTGTCCAATCCCCCGCCCCCTGCACTGTCCAACCACCCCCTGGCACCGTCCAAACCCTGCACTGTCTGACCCCCACAGTGTCCGGACCCTGCACTGTTCTACCCCCGCACTGTCTGTCCTACCCCGGCATTGTCCGAACCCCTGCACTGTGTGAACCCCCACACCATCCAAACCACAAGTCAGCAGCTGCCACCCAATCCCCCAGCATGCCGTGCTATGAGGCCCTGTCCCCCTCCCGAAAGTGTGCTGGAGACCACGAGAAAACGCCACTCCTGGAAGGCAGCCAATCCCATGAGAACAATGGGCACCACCTGATCCTGCCCTCTCAGTCAAGAGGTGGGGTCAAGCCCTTAAAGAGAGGAGGAACCTACTTACCCTGTGGCCAGTGCGTAGCAGAGCACCAGGCTGAACGCCAGCTCCGAGGAGGCAGGGCACAGTGTCTGTCCCCTGTGATGGGCCCTCACTGATCTGTGCTGTGGGAGAAGCTCCTAGGAAGACAGACTAGGGGAGCCCTTTTCTGCAAGGCTAAGTAGCAGCCTTGGCCACAATGCCCCCATTCTCTGAGCCTGTCTCCCCAACTGAAAGTGGGGTGACAGTGACTCCCTCCCACTGTGAGGGCAGTGGAGGCACTGCTGGACCCAGCGACACTCGGGGTGTGGCTCTGCATGGCAACCCTCGGGAGAGCTCAGGTGCTAAGGGCCCAAGTCCTTGGTGCCTCTGAGCTTGCTGTGCCAGGGTGCTCGCGAGGCTCAGACATCCTGGCCGGAGAGACCACCCTCCCTCCATGGGGCTGGTCCTGGGGCTGAGTCCCTGGACACACGGCCAGAAGAGCCTGGCAGCTGCCCATCTCAGTAGCACCAAGAGAAGAGACTTTCAAGTGAATTAAAAACAAGCATGTGTGTTTCCATTTTGCCCATCTGTGGCCGTTCCTGAAGCACCAGCTCTTGGAGCTAGGGGTGTGGGGAGGAATAGGCGGAAGTAGAATGGCTCATGGAGAAGCTGGAAAAATTAGCAATTAGGAGGGAAAATTGTAATGAGAAAATGAGGCTTAATAAGGCAAACACAATACTGCTGCGGGTTTTTCTTGCTCTCTCGCCGCAAACAAGCAGTGACTTCATGTCTGGGTTTCTCAGCTTTCCTGTGCCACAGCCAACAGGGACGGAGCTGGGAGAAATGTCTCTATTGTCCCTAGACAGTGTCCCTGGCATCTGGGGAAGAGAAGGCTGGCTGAACCGTGATGAGAGGAGAGTCCTCACTCTTGGCACCCATGGGGCCCACAGACTTATTAGTCAGAATGGGCTGGGTCGTGCTGCAGTGACAACCCTGAACCCTCAGGTACCACAGCCAAGTTTACGGCTCACTTGCACTTTATATATATATATGCTTATTTGCCTTTTCCATGAGAAACAGGGAGAGACAGAGAGAGAGGCACCCCAACAGGGTCTTCACGCCAGCATCCATTCCAGTCTCGACCAGCCAGGAGCTCGCTGCAGAAGTGGGACACATACCCACTATCCTCCGATATGGCCTCACCATCACAGAGCCCTGCATCCCACCCCCCCACCATGGCTGACCCTCCCTCATGCTGTACCTACAACACAAGCTCTCAGGGAGCTTGGCTCATCCCAGTCCTTCAGGGACCTCGAGTGACCAGAGGGCCCATGGTGATCCATGCTTCCATGGGTGGCCTTGTGAGGGAGGAAGCATGGTGAAT